TTATAAGACCATCCTGAATGTTATTCACTCGTCTGATACTGTGAATTACAGTAATATGTAATTCTATCACTGCCTTTAATCCACATTATGTATATCCTGGCAGTACTGTCTGTATATTGTTTTTGTAAATGAGTGTAAGGATAGAAGGTATTCTATAGCGCTCATATTGTAAAGTCTTGTGGGATATACAGTATATACGTATTTTTGATTTGAGGCTATAGGCCTATGAAATCGGCTTGACGTAACAGATACAATTATTACTGAACTTATTTTTGTCCGAAAAGTTTATTTATGAGGTGATGGAGGGAATGCTTTTGGAGGAAAAATACTTAAAGGGGAACAATTTAACCAAAATGTCTTTTTTGATCCAGTAAATCCATCCCATCATTATGATTACTGTGATGAATTACACAACAGGCAGATGTCAACAGTCTGCTAATTGATTTTCACACCATATGGAAATCAATGTAAACCAATGACATTGTGAATAAATTGAAACCGTATAGGATATTTGAAAGTCTAAATCTAACATGAGAAAATAACACCAGTTAAATATTGTATTTGTGATTTTTTAAAAATCTTTTATGTTTTTGTTTTGGTAAAAAAAAAAACTGTGATAATGTTTCTTTCATTGAACTACTCCCAGAAATTCTATAACAGGTTCAATCTATTATTTAGCATTCCTTAGATCACAGATTCCTTAGATCACAGATCCAAACAAATGAAATAAATAGAGTTTTCTATTTGCAATCATCACACATACACAGCACTCGATGGCAGAATGTAGTAAACTGCAGTCACTGTTTGTGTAAGTGTATGAGCCAGCTGTTAAAGAGGGCTGGATGTATATGGTATGAAGGTATGCAATGTGTATATGTGTAAGGTGCATATCCATATGGGTCCGTGTTTGTACACATCGGCGTGTAAGTGAGGGGACGAGAAGCGAGCAAAAGAGAGAGGAGAGTCTCATTTGTATTCACCATGAATCTACATTCACCTGCCAGAGCAACAGCAACCCCCCACCCACTCTACCCTCAACAGATGGCCACCCGTCAGCTCCCAGCAGACGCACACGCACACATATACACCCTCATTCTCTTCCTCAATCACACACACACACACACACACACACACACACACACACACACACACACGACACAAAATAAGCATCAACACACTTAGTGGAATGAGCAGGGATCCTCGCTGTAAAATGGAGTGGCTGAAACATATGATTAGAAACAGGGAGGGAAGTCATTAGTACAAACCAGAGCTCCAGTGTCACGTTATTTATCTAGCACTGAGCATACATCAATTACCCATGCATAGATATGCTTAAATATTAATCTTCTATTCACACCCTCCCTCCTTCTTCGTACTACATCTCACCTCCTTCTCATCTACCTCACATCATTTTCTTCTTTCTTTCTTCCCTGCATCGGCTTTTCCCATAATGCATTTCTCCACCACCCTCGCCTGCTTTCAGGACCAGTGGTTAGCCCGCAGTCCCATGTTACAGAGACGAGTTTACCACGTCATGGCTGCGGTGAGAAGGCAGCTCTACGTGCTAGGCGGGAATGACCTGGACTACAACAATGACCGCATCCTGGTCCGCCACATTGACTCCTACAACATGGACCAGGACCAATGGACACGCTGCTCCTTCAGCCTCCTCACGGGTGGGCAAAGTAAAGAAACAACACGTGATCACCAATGCTCTTCTACATTTATACTACAGATGATAACTGGTCGACCGTTGGTCTGCAAGCTATATTTTGCATGTTTAAAGTTCCTTTACGGAGTCATAGATGGGTTTACACTAAGTACTGAATTCTACACAATACATACTTATTAAAATGTATATTTTAACATCATTTATTGATTGCAAAGAGAAGATAATTACCACTCTCATATCTTCAACTCGATATGAAGGTGAAAGGAAAGTTAGCTTAGCTTAGCATTAAGACTGAAGAGTTGGGAGTGTTTTGGTACTTTCACATGAGAAAGAAACAATAACACATCCTCAAGCTCCCCGGTGAGGATTGAGCAACATTTCAATCAAATTGTGATGACACTGCTTACTGTATGCTGCAAGTAAACACTCAGTTACCCCGATCAAATTACACCCACAGAGACCTAACGCAGCAGGCTTTTCATTTCAATCTCATCTTTACCGTTTTCTCATGTAGTCACAAGTGTTTAATGTAACTAAAGTTTTATGAGGGTTTAGATGTAAATGAATCTTAAACACAATATATGTTTAATTCAAATGATTTGGTCCGTGAAAACATAGGTTGAGTAAAGCTCTATCCTCCTCTCATTAGATAGAAAACGTTAAAAGTAATGCCTCCGTGCTGGTTGTAGTAGGCGGTAGGATGATGTACAATGAAAACACATAAATCCTTGCTTTGGACCTGTGGGCATGCTGCATGTACAGTATAGCCTCCAGGCTGGTGGAGGTGGGATGGAGTTCCACCTCCACCAGCCTGGAGCCAGAGGCAGAGGAGACCATGTGCTCATGTTCTCTTATCATCTTGCAATCCTTGTAGGAAGGCTTACTTTGTCAAGTTAGGTTGCTCTTAAGATTCCCCCCTCCTTCCTCGCTCCAATGAACTTCCCTCCTTTGATCTAGGATCATCTCCTCCCATTATATCTGTAAAAGTTTAAGACAAAGTCAAGGGAACGAGAACCTGAACTCAATCTTGGCTCTCCATTCACTCTTGCCCTTGCCCTATCTTTCTCCCTTTGTCTCCCTCTGTGTCTCTCGGGGGGCATGGACGTCATATCAACAGAATGCCCTCTGCCTGGCACACTAAAACATTGTGTCGGCTCTGTCCTCCCCAGGTCAAAATGAGTCTGGAGTCGCCGTCCATGATGACAGGATCTATGTTGTTGGAGGATACTCCATTTGGACTAACGAGCCTCTGGCATGTATTCAGGTGAGGATCTTTTAGCTTGAGCATCGCTAATAGGCTAATAGTCTACAGCTGTGCTAGAAATTCTATGAGGATAAATAGATTACTTTGTAATTAGCACACTTCATCTTTACATGCTGATGTAAGGAATGTATAATATTCATTATGATTAATATTTCATCAAAACATGTTAGTATGCTTACATTTTCTCAATAGCTAAAAACACAGATGCACATAATGTAGTCTGAAATATATGAAAAATTCAAAGTTTGACTATATGGTGGCAAACGATGAGACGTCAGAGGATCACTAAAATGATTACAATTTATGCTGAGGATGGTGTGTGCATCAAATTTCAGACAGTGCCAAGTCTATTTGAACTACATGAACAATGTTCTCTTTTCAGGTGCTGGATCTGAGCTCAGAGGGCAAGGAGGAGGTTTTCTATGGGCCAACACTGCCATTCGCCTCCAACGGAATAGCAACTTGTTTCCTTCCTGCTCCTTACTTCACCTGCCCAAACCTACAGACTCTACAAATACCCCACCACAGAATAGGTGCTGTTTAAATCATCAACGAACAAAACATCAGAAAACATGAACACACAAGCAGAGAATGGAGGGGACTCAACTGATCATAGTCATCACTTGGAAACCTGTAATCTCTGTCACACCAGTGTCCAGGGATTTCTTTGACTCAAATGTAAAAACAATACTCTCATGATCTACAAAAGCCATGCTTTCCTACACACCTCAAGGAAACTGAAAAACAAGCAGCTGTTTCAATTATATGGTATAACTGTTGTATTTCCCTGAGGACAGAGGCATCATTCATAATGTCCAGTGAAGATGCAACAAGTAAGAAAAAACAATCTCAGTGACTATTGTTCCCTAAGACAGCCTTACTTTATGGTAAGCAGACACATTACTAAATGACTCTGTCATCCACTGGAGTTCAAGAAACTGTCCTTTTTGCAACCCGTTATGAAGCCGAAGAGCTTTCATCACTGCAGAATACTTTTACCAAAGCTTATTAACCTCTCTAAAATCAAATGAAAAAACATGTTGTGCATGTTTTTCAAAATATACAGGACAAAGCGTGTTGTGTCATTGATTCGTATGTGCTTTGAAATGACAAATTGGGTTAGCAAGAGTCAGTTGCCCGAGGCAGAAGCTCATCATGCAATTTAAAAAACTTCAGATAAAGGTCAAAATGTACTTCATTATCCTGCATCAGCAGTGACACTCTACTGTATGTGTGTATGTTATGTAGACCTGTGCAAGTGAGATTTTTACCATACTCAGGACCTAAGACTGTTTATGTGCAATATGAATGTCTGGTCATTGTCATCATTCAGAAAATATCTGTGGAATATATTCCAAAGTGGTATAGTGCTATGATCATTAAAACTAATCGTTTTAGTTTGACCAGAAGAGAGAAAATGTGATCCCTGAACTCAGCTGTCTGTAAGAATACATGACATTTTTTTTTTTTTTTTTTTTAGAATAAAGGCGCTACATAAACAACACCAGGGCATCTTTTATAGGGATTTCTAAAAGCAATGACGGAAAGCAGGTTAATAAATTAGCATCAGTAAATAACTGGATTTGTATTTCAAGCATAACCTCTACTCATTTTCTTTCTCCTGTCCAACCACCTTTGATGGTGGTGAAAAATGTAGGGCAGCAGAAGCCTGCTCGTTAAAAGGGATGCACCGCACTTTGACAAGGCTGGAAAATGACTAGCAATGACAGAAAATGGGACTCGGTGATTGTGGGAGACAGCAGTGAGACTTTGTGTGATTAGGTGTAAACTAAAGCTGGATTGCTAGAGATTGCTGTGACTTGGAAAGAGAGAGAGAGAACTGGAACAAACAGTACTCTTCTCCTTTACTCACTTTTTTTTTTTTTTGCAACCGGACTCTTTGGGCTCGCCCACGACAGTCATCAAATGTGTAATTTAGAGTGCCAACCAAGTAGACAGATCCAGCACCTGATGGTATAAGCACAGATAGGAAGCTCTCTTCATCGTGTGAAATCCTTAATTTTCTCTCTATAGAACTGAAATCAAAATGTGGAGACTGCTATGTGCATTTTCACATTTGTCACATTTTATTTCATTGATAATGGATCTGCCAAGATCAATGGATGCACCTTTATTACATGTACATTATATACATTCTGTGATATTAGACACATACTGAAACATATCAGGCTAACAGATAAAGAACATTTGAATTTAAAGTAAAGAATATAAAACTTTTTTGAATATTCACATTTGCTTGTATTTTTACATGATCACAGCTAAAGACATGCACTAAACCCTAAGATGCCTTCGAAAGCAGCATTATAACACAATTTTCTAAAGACCAAATTAGGAAGATTATGCAACTTAAAGAAGGTTTTTACGAGTAAAAAGTCATTCTTAGAGCTGGCAACAGGTCCTGGAGCGGGTCCTTGTTTTTGAACAACTTTCAATCTGCATCCAGACTGGTCAGCTCTGCCTGCCCACTCTCACCAAGGAGACACAGCAACTTCCTGTAGGCACTCCTGATACACAAAGAGAGAGAGAGAGTCCTCGGTTTGAAACATTTGAAAAAAAATACTCAACCACGGAATATCTCCAGTTTAGCAAGTAACACCCGTTCATTGTCTAGACAACTTAAAAATAGTGCTAAATGAATAATGTGTGTGTGGCTTCAAGGACGTGATTCATCTGTTTGCTCACCTCACAGCGATGTTCTTGCCCAGCCCTCTCTTGTACTCAGTGTTTCTCAGACTTAGAGACAGGTTGGGGATGAGAGCTTGAACAACAGGAGGATCTAAAACAGCCACAGTCTCAAGGACACTGTATACCTGTCTGTCATAGACTCCCTCATTCTCCTCCACAAATGACCTAGGAGCATTGGGATTACACAAACAGTAAAAAACACAAATCATCAAATAGGCTTTAATTTCATTAAGATATTTTACTAAAACTATGTATTGGGGTGTAGACAGGTACAGATATTTATGTTTAAAAACTATTTTCAGTTACCTTAAGACATTGATCATCTGGTCACATGGTCCCTCTGTAGATGTAACACTACAACGCTCCACCACAAGCTGCAAAGCATCTGTGCTCATCTTCCGCACTGCAGAGAAAAACAGACAGATCAACAAAATACATATACTTTATTTTTTATTTTGAAATGAATGAGGGCCGGCCACTGCTGTAATCCGAGGTGTTATATTTTAAGTTGTCTATCCAATTTTTTCTGAATACAATAAATAAGTAAGCCTTCAGGGAATTTCTTTTAATTTGGATTAATTGGATTGTGATTTTCAAAGTTCAACCTTGTCTTATTCTTATGAATGTTCTATCCCAAGAACAGACATGTCAGTGTAGTAAAAACTTTCTTTTTTTTTTAAACACGCTGGTTACCTTTTATTTAATTCCTTCAAATTTGTAACCATGATACATACAGTGCTTGAGTCCGGACAGGCAAAGATGTAAACTGCACTTTGCCTGGTCAACAGAAGAATACTAACACATATTGTAACTACTAAAGACATGTTTGATACAATCTTGCTCATCATCTGATGTAAGTTGATAAAGGCATTTAGTATGAGATCATTTTGAAAGAAAGTAGAAATACATGCAGGCTTGGTCAGATTTATAATGCAAACTTATGTCAGGAATCCATTGGACAGTAATACATACAAGTAATCATATTTTTTTTTTTTTAATTTATTCTTGGGCTTTCGTGCCTTTATTGTAGAGATAGGACAGTGGATAGAGATGGAAATCAGGGAGAGAGAGTGGGGATTGACATGCGGGAAAAGAGCCACAGGCTGGATTCAAACCTGGGCCACCTGCGTTAAGGACTACAGCCTCCATACATGGGACACATGCACTAACCACTGCGCCACCAGCGCCCCAGTAATCATATATTTCAATGTGACCATTTGAAAGTGTGAAAGTGTATTTACTAAACTGTGCTTCTGTAGAAGCTTCACATTTCCTGAAGCTCATTAGAATCATCAGAAGAACATCGGATTTGCTAGACTTCAAGCCCTTAAAGTCAGCGGACACTGTCACCCTAATGAACAAAGACTCATTGGAGACCTTTAGTTATGTAGATAATTAAAAGTTCTCAAAACATTGATTTATTCTATAGACCAATCAGAGCCACACTAGGTGAACCAAAGGCTATTTACTATATCAGCCATATTTGAAGGCACCCATAAGTAGCTTTGAAAATCTACACTCGGTTAGCTTCAGATTATGTTGTGTGCATATGCACAAGCAAGATGTTACCCTGTGGTTCATTGACGAGCATCACACAGCGCAGCAGAGCGGGGACGGGCAGAGTTAGGAGGGTGGGGTCTGAGTCACTGTTTCTTCTCAGAAGCTCCGATAGAAACATCAGGACTGAAGCTAACCGAGGCGGGGGGGCATGACCTTTAAACTGCAGGAAGCTTTCACTGTGAAAATGGAAAAACAAATAGACTTTGAGCTGTTGAGAATTTCATTGTTAAAGAAACATTTTTTATTTTGTTGAGAAATACAATTATAAGACAAGGAATTCCCAAACAAGAATGCTGTTTAGTCTGATTAGACAAGGAAATAAATAGAAATCTAGAGTAGTTGCCTGTGGGGCTGTGGAGTCTTTTCTGTTTTAGTCACTCTCATACTATGGAACAGAATGCACGCGTTAATGAGATGGAGAGGAATCCTTTCCAAACATAATCTGGATCTGAAATTAAAGTCAAAGCCAAGCAGTTTCAGGCAATGACATGCTTACGAGAACTCAGTTGCAGAGACCTACCAGAGCAGCTCCAGGATTGTCCTCCTCAGAGACGCTCCCGACACAGTTGGGCTGGCCTCACACGCACTCAGAAGCACTGGGTGGTTGGCAATGATGCCCATGGAAGGTGAGGCAGGAAGGAAATGGTCCAAATACCTGCGGGTAACAGAGCGGAGCTGCTGCTTCAGGTAGGCACCCTGAGATTGAGACACACTGGAGGCAACTGACAGACCCTGCAGGGGAAAACATTTTAAGTGTCAGAATAAAAATGTTGAACAAATAATAGACTTAATGATGAAAGGCTTTGCAGCTTCAGGTCTCTTTCTTAAAAAAACAACACCAGGCCTTCCAAGATGTGACTTTTTGGTTCAGTGTGCTGTACGTATCCTAACCTGTAGATAGAGAGGCAGGCTGTCCCTGAGTGCTTTGTCCTGCTGTGTGAGGTTGTGGGGAAGCAGCAGTCCGTCCACAATGCGAAACAGCAGCTGCTGGGCTTTGGATGTGGCCAGCAGGGGGCTCCAGTGCTTCACTATGCAACCTAAATGTAACGACATTGAAAACGATCAGAGTGAGATACTCGACTGTAATGATTTCTTACTTCTTTCTGTGACTCAGACCCAACGGGAAAAGAAACTAAACAAAGTCATACTGAAGCTTTGCCTACAGTAGTATATGTTTGAAGTTTATGGTATGTGCACCTACCAACAGCCCAGTAGGCCAGTTGCACTCCCTCTTGGTTCTTGCTGACCAGGGAGGGTTTGATATGTTTCAGGATGTCACCAATATAGTCCAGGGCTCTGGTCACCATGTCTGAACGCTCAGACAAAACCTGCAGTCCACTGTATGTAATCCCTACAGCCTGACAGCACAAGACAGCAGATACAAAATATTCGTATTATTCGTATTATGTAAATAGAGGATGATGTAGTAGAGTTGATACGAAGGTGATATGCAAAGCAATCATCACATACAGTACAGACTTTAGTAAAGGAGTCCTGTAGGTCTTAAACACAAAGTGTTCATCACTACTCCTAAATCTATCCCACCTTTTCTACTTCAGCTAACAGCAGGCATCATTTAATTCAACACTGACTTCTAATTTCAGTATACAAAGAGGTACAGCATTTACCTCAGTTAATATGGTTAAAAGACTACAATATATTTGACAGCTATGAATGAAACAGTACCTTGACAAACATCTCAAGAACTGAAGTTGGTTCAAGTCTGGCGGCAGTAGGTTTCAGACCTGCTCTCTGCAAAATACTCTCCACCTCAGGAAGCCTGAGCACCAACCGGGTCAGTTCACACAACTGCTCCTCCAAAGCCTTGGCTGGAAGCATTGCAGGCCAAAAAACAAGTATTTTAAAAGGGTTAGTCTCTGTTAAGAGGAACAGCAAGCCTGAGTTTCTTCACCACATAAACCTTGAAAACAGAGCCTGGTTACAGTGAAGAAGCTTTAGGAACTGTATTTGAGCAAGACAACTTTTTTACAATATTGTATTGGTGCAGAAATGAAGACACTGCTTATGTTTACCTTTATCTCAAATGTTTTTTTTAAAGATTTATTTTGGTCCTTTTTGCTTTTTGAAATCAAGAAGAGGAAGTGGGGAATGACATGCGCAAAAGGAGCAACCGCTAGGCCATCTGCGCACCTTTTCTCTCAATTTGGATTGAAATTAAAAAGAAGTCAAGAAGGGATTTTGTTCATAATAACATTGGGTTGTTAATGGGGGTTGCTCAACTAAATACTGGTAAAAACATATTATTTATCTCCTAAAATGTAGGCTGTGGTATTACCTGTTCTGCTGTCAGACCCGTCTTGGTTCTTGTGAAGGTGCTGCTGTATAGTGCAGCGGAACCAGGCCCTCACTGAGAGTCTTTGTGCAGAGCCGGCAGAATCACTGCTTATTGAAGTCAGCAGCTCACTGTAAAAGACAATAGTTTCACTCAAAGAGTAATGTGTGTAGTAAGTGAACACAAGTGGTCTTTGCTGATGATAAAGATTCATAGAGATATTATATTCTGACCCTTAAGATTCAGATTGGGATTGTTAAAAATGTGATGCCCACTGAAATGGCCATACTGTTTGTATTCTTACAAGGGAAATCTTTGTTGAAAAGTATATGAATCTACAAATCTGCTTGTGTCTGAAACCGAACTGTGCAAAAAATTATATTTTCTTCTTTTTTCTTCTGAAAAGACAAACTGTTTTAAATGAGTCTAACAAGGGGATAAGATATCTGACTAATGTGAGGTATCAGATTACATTTTTCATGAAACCATCACTGCATTTTATAACTTATATATTGATATCTCAAACAGTCAAGGCTAGGCAGGCTGGTACTTCTAAACAATAAACACAACAAGTGCCCTTGTTCTGGATTTATATTCAGCTGTGGCACCTTAATATCACTTGGCACTGAGTGAACAGGGCCTCTGAGGGTGAAATAGCCACATTCTTTAGTACCCTTGAGTGTCATTTTCAAGATGCACTACATTTTATATTCAGTTAAACAATTCAGTCAAGTGGTGTTGACCATAAAAAAGATCGACAGCTGGCAGGTACATACGTTTACATCATCCCAGTCTCAATGACCTTAAGTTTTCCTATCAGGAATGCTCTGATTGAGGCATAGACACAAAGGTTCAATCTTAACTCTACCTGTTTTGAAGTAGATGAGGAAGATAGCGAGTCACCAGAAGTGGGTGAACCATGTCGTCCCAGCCGAAGCATTGCATGATGGACTGGACTGGGTTGGGCTGAAGGTCTTGAGAGGCAGAACTGGGCAGATCAAAGGCCAACAGTGTGAACCCTAAGACAGGTGAATTTCAAAGATATGTTTATAATTCACAGTAGTGTATGTATTCAAATCCTCTCCTTCTGTGTTAAATCATGGCATAAATGTTTTCAGTATGGGCCATCAGATATCCATTTTGTTTAACATTTATCCCAAACTCTTCTCCAATGAGCCCCTTCTTTCTTCCTTTCTGTGTTTTGTTTTCCTCCTAGTGGACATGTCTGACCTGCAGCAGCATCTGCAAGCTGTGCTGGAGGGGTCTGAGAGAGGCGTAGGCTGCGCAGGAAAGGGAAGAAGTGTGCCCAGAGTGCTGCTGCTACCGCTAGGTGGCGCTCTTTCACCACATTGCTGTTAACAGGAGCCCAAGCCAAGGTGGATGCTGAGTGGACACTGTGCTGATGGACCCGTCTGAAAGGACACAGACACATACACAAAAAGTCGATAAACAAATGTATTGATGCAAAATCCAAACATAGGACTCCCTCTGTGGAACAACAACTCCGCCCTCTACTTTCTCAAATCCTTTTGCTCCCCTGTTTCTCTCTTTCACTTCTTTTTCATGTGTTTTTTCTCTCTTCTCTCCTGGGGGATTACTGGGTGCGGCGGTGCGCTGCAGTGAGGAGCAGAGCAGGGTGGAGGTGGGGAAGGAGAGAAGGATATTATAGGCATAGAGTAGAGCCTAATGCTGATCCCCTGTACACAGACTATACTTTGGCTCTTCTGGCTCATCCCTGGCCCCAGCCATTACAACAGCCCCACAGTGACTGGCATTAGCCCAGATAAGCAGCTGAAGGAGCTGTAATCTCATTTAGACTGGAGATGATCCTCCTGTCCCCCTCATTCGCTCACATGGGGGTGTGTGGAATCGAGGTTGAGGTGTGCTGGGGAAGGAGGAAAGGAAAAAAGAACTAGAAAACCCCAACCACCCCTCCTCACCATTCCATCCTAAACTATGCACTCTAGTCTGCTGCTATGGTACACACATACACACACACCTCAGCGATGCCTTCCCTTCCAGCAAGGTTGCATCTAATCCGGAGAGAGCTGAGACAATCGATTAGAGTCTGAATTCATTAGCCTCGTTACTACTGCGGAATGGGCCTTTCACACCCATCAACCCTCATTGTACAAGACATCGTCAGAGACTCCACTTAATCCTCCTCTCTGCGGTTTCTTACAATGTGTACATACACACAAACACTCAAGCACACACACTCTGCGCCAACAAACCATTAGGGACCCTGTTTAACCCTTCCTGCTGCTGCATCTAGCAAATGGAGACATAAAATAAAATATACAACAAACACACTCAGGCATAAGCCTTTCTGTCTCATATTGTCCATGCATGTGTCTGAAACGGTATAGGGTGTAACTGTTCCTAAATCTGCTAGTTACTTAATAGTAGTTCTCCTTGACTTTGAAAAGAATGGCTCAATATCCGGTAAAAGGTCTTAATGCTTGAAAAAGCAAAAAACTTCAAAGGGAGGCTGGCTTTTTTCAAGCTAAGGATATGGGGATTAATTATTTGTAACGAAACAGATCCATTGTAATGTGCCAATGCCAGCTCACCTCATCAACCAGTGACAACCCCACTAACCCGCAGTAGAGGGTCATGGGAATGAATAAAACTGAGGAATTATGCCTGGCTTCTTGCCTCAGCACCATGACAATGGCTATCAAGAGTGAAAGTTCGGACCCTCTACTGCCTCAGCTATTGGCAGAATAATTCTCTTAATGTGTGCAGATTCCACACTGCCCTCAGTAGACATAATGATGCACAGGCTAAATTTGCCAGGCTACATAATTGTCCATTAATTGTGTCACAGAAAAGGTATTAATCACAAAGAGATACTGAGAATTGCCAGGCCAAAGAATTATGTTTAATTTGGCAGGGCAGAAAGGGGGAGCATGGTACTTTTTTATATGGTTAAATGGGTCAGTGTGGTCTGAGCCATCACATTCAGGGCTTCTGGGAATGTTCTTTCTGTCTCTCTCACTCTCCCTGTCTTGCTCTCTCCTTGGCCATTTATGTGCAAATGTGTGCCCTTCAACCCTGACACCTGAGATGGGAAGTTTGGGAATGAGCAACGCTAGCAAGATATCATGTTGAGTTTAGTACTGAAATAAAAGGGCAGCACACTTAGGTAGTTTCACTTTTGGTGTGTGGGCAGAGTCTCTGTGCAGACTGGAGAGGATGAATGTATACTTTAGAGAATCAAATCAATCATACACCTACATGAACCACTGAGAGGGTTCAGTAACACTTAACTTTACAATGTTCTTTTTATAGTGTTTTAGCTCATGCTTAAACCCTTTGTACGCAGGGTAAATATAAAGGGGCAGTAATAGAGAGATGCTGTGAAGTCTTTTTGAAAAATCACAGGCGTATTGAGAAATACAGTGAATGCTGGGATGTAAACAGGAGCGGTCTGTTTTTTTCTCTGAAGTTTAACTCATCGTAATATGACTGCTGCAAAATGTTTGGTCATGCAGGACCTAGCACTTGTTGCACGTGTGTATCTGGATCTTAGAACAGAAAAGGTATGCCTCTTAACAGACAAGTGAATCAAAGTGTGAGTGTGTTGCATTGGCTTTGCTTACACTCTGTGTCCTATCACTCCTTGGTGATAGGAAGAGTTTTACTTTGAGCTTCTTGGCATTATTCCCACTAACACAGAGTTCTTAATACTGCAAAGGCAACAAATCAAACAACCAGATCAAGGGTCCATCATCATTTTGTTGTTATCTCATTAGTCAATAGACCATGCTTTATTTCTAAAACTGAAAACATATTTTGTGATTATTTTGTAGGACAATTATGATACCTTTAGGATCCATGATTAAAAGTAAAAGTAGTTTTTGCACAACTTCCATTTCAAATGAAAAAAAGGTTGAAATCACGATGATGAAACATTGGTTCTGGTCTCTTACAAACAAATTTGACCATATAGGGAACTTAGACAATATGTCAATAAACTGTGCTGCTTTATGGCAAAGATAACATAACAGGATGATTATGAAGCTATGATATCAAGCACTACTAAGTGGTAATATGGATCATTCACTGTCCCTTGTGTTCCTGCCTCTAGTTCCCCACATAAACAGACACTGTTTCAGCAGTGGATCTTTGACCTTCTGTTAGTTTGATAGTGTAACAAAAACCTGTGTCCTACAGCTGAACCCATCCTGCCGCCCTACTGACCACAGTCTCTCAACACACCAGGAGTCCTGCCGCTGTCCCCATGACGACAGGAGGGTCCATGAGGTTCCCTTGAGCCTGTAACTCTACTCAGAGCTCCACCAACACCTGGTTAGGGTGACCTGGGGGCCACAAGGTCTACGAGACTAATGGGGGCTTCAATGCAACACAGGGTCTTTATAGACACTAGGTGGATTGTCCTGTCAGTAAGAACTATTGTAAGTAAGAGAGCTGAGTGGAGTCTGTGATGGACTGGCAAGAGCAGAAGAGATTACTCAACACTGCTGAAGCCACTTATCAGATTTAAATAAAAGCTGAAATGTTCCTCTATCCAAGCAGCTATCAGTAAAGAAAAGAATGAGAGAAACTGAAGTGAAAGATACCTGGAAGCTGGTGTGTGTTTACACCTACTGTCTCACCTGAGCTGGGCGAGGACGATCTGCAGAAAGCCTAGGGCAGAATTCAGCTCTGATAGGCGGCAAGCAGGCAGCAACCAATCAAATCCTTCATTGAGAAGTTTTTCCTCTGATTGGCTGAGACTGGTGCCTGTCTCAAAAACTTCAGCAACACCCTCCAGGTATGAGCCAAGGGGCCCCCAGAGGGCAAGTCTGCGAGACACCTCTGTGGTCTTATTGTAGAACTCTTTAGCTGTCTCATTGAAAGAATTGGCCAGCCAACTGGCCTGTGCACCCACATCCAGACCCCTCTCCTGAATAAAAAAAAGAACAAAACATATAAACATATCAGGCGATGGAGAAAAATAAAAAAAAATTGTGAAAATAGACATCAGAAATAATTTTTTATGTAAAACAGAAAAATCAACAATGCACTCTTCGATTACATTTATGATTAACAAACCTGGAACAATAACAATAGTGATAGCTGTCCCCTCCAGACCAGGGTGCGGTGCCCAGGGGGGCAGTTAGAGGGAAGGAAACCAAGTAGCTCATAGGCTCTGCTTGCAACATCCTCCAGCTCTACCTGCCTTGCCACCACCAGAAAAAGCAGCAGGAAGTTCATTAAGCCAGCCTCTGACAGATCCTGCATCTTTTTTGAGGAGAACTTGGAATAAATCCTGGAAAACATAAGAAACAAAAGAAACAGAAAAATATGATGTTAGTCTAAGTTAGATGAGATGGTCAGATAAATGGTCAGAAACAAGGTTGTGACCAGTATTTTGGTTTTTGCTCTGTAGTCTGTACAATATGACTTATTATAGGTCAACTACATGATTTAATTGTTAATTTGTGATTTAACTCATTAACTTATTTCTACTTGAGCTTATTCAATCTTTATAAATTATTTGTTCTTCTCTTACCCCCTGACTTTGGATGCTGACTAACTGAACTTTATACCCCCACTGTGCAGCACACCACCTGCCTCCATCAGCCTCTCAGCTCCAGGGGATAGGCTACCCAGCCTGTGTGTGTGTGTGTGTGTGTGTGTGTGTGTGTGTGTGTGTGTGTGTGTGTGTGTGTGTGTGTGTGTGTGTGTGTGTGTGTGAAGAAAGAATAAGCAAGAGAGGGAGTAAGCAGGATCTATCAGCGTGCTGGGTGAGAGAACCACACAGCACGCTGTTAGATCCTGCGGGCACTGTGGAGAAATGCCTTTAAAGATCATGTTAAATGTCAGAGACACTCAGACACACAGCAGTAGGCGCTCGGTCCCTCTCTCTACAGCCAAACCAATTTACTGCAACACCAGAGAGAGATCAATAAAACCACACACACACATTCGCATTGCCACACATCCAGCTTGATGTTTGATCGCCTGGCAGGAAAACAGAGAAGGCTGGAGCCCCCTCCTTTCACACCCTAACTCCCAAACACAGATGCAGCCCACACAGGTGAGTAAAGCTGCTGTTTGGGTCAAAACACAAACAGCAAGCGTTCCAAGACAAACTCTGTGTAAGAAGTATGACTGATATAATGAAGTGGAGAAAATGGAGAGAGGAGCTGAGTAAGACCAGGTTAACACCAAAATCAGCTTAGTAACTCCCACAGAGGACTGTAAAAGGAGAAGGTGGCCAGGCGTGCAGTCGGAGTGTGAAGGAAAGGAGATTTAAATAGATGAATGGGTTATGTGTAACAGGGATATAAACGGCATGCTTGGAGGCAGCAAAGGGGATTTTTCTGTGTTCTCCCAACCTGTCTATCTGTTTGTTTATTCTGAACAGTTTTTTTTTTCCTGAGGTGAGCAGATGCTCCTTACTCCCGGTGTTTAAGTTCAACAAGCTTGAAGCCAAGCCCATTAATGCGATGGCCATCGGTGTCCCACAGAGCCTGGCCAGGGGTAGGAACACTGTTGAAACGCTGTAGCACTACGGTCGGCGTGCCTCATGCCTCCTGAGGGGTGGCGGTTGTGGAGAGGGGGATGGGCAATGGGGGGGATCTGGACCTGTCCCAGCCCATTCTAGCTGTTGCCAAACTCCCTACCACCCACATCTCCCCACTACCAACCCCCCATCCATGTTGGAAACCAACACAGCTTCGTTAAAGCGAATTAACCGCCACGCTCGTTAGCTAATTAGCCCCCATGTCTGCAGCGCTACTGAGCACATTCCAGACAGAGGGAAGTCATTAGGCGGATTTATCTACGACTGCCTCTCTCTGGCGCTCAGCCGGCCTGAGATATAGGATGGTCCAGTGCTCGGTTCTGATGGGCACATTAGCTTGTGATCTTCTTTCTTACTTTGGCTCACAAAGACACACTCCCTCTCCATCAGATGGCCTCACACACGCATGTCACTGCTCTAGGGAGCAGGTGCAGAGTGTGTTTGTGAGCGTGTGCACCAGGAGGAGGCTCCTTGGCTCTGGTCTGTGCTGAAGAGCAGGGGGTTGACTCCTGAGACACCTGCTCCACTGGGGGCCTGAGTAAATATCCAAGAGGCACAGGGAGACTTGGTGCACCTGGCACGCAGACAAACAAGATCGAAATGCATGCTAGTGTGTAAACACACATGGTGTTTGTGTTTTCATGCAAGTATTCATCCCCACCACACACAAAAATTCAAATAACACACAAAACACATCACACATGAGAAGATCAAGAGGAAAAGGGATTCTAACAGAGCATGTTCTTAATAAGTAACCAGTTATCATAGCTCAGTGTTTTCCCTTTAATCTTCTCTTCTGCCCAAAAAAAATACACTATGCAGTTGAGTTGAGTCAAATAATGTCCACAATGTGTACTTTTCATGAAATGCTGCAATCCTTTTCTCAATTTTTACCTTCCTTTGATTTGTCTTTGTGGGACTCCACCAACTCTGTCCTGGGCGAGGCACAGGGCCAGCACTCGGAGGAAGATGTGGAAGGAGCTGGCTGAGCGGTAGAGCTGGATGTGTCCTGGGGATGTAAGGTGACAGGGGCAACAGCAGCTGCGGGCCTGCTCCGACAAAGCCAACGGTGACTTGTACAATGTGCCCACACCGGACATTCCCAGCCAGGGTACAGTGAACGAGGAACTCTGAAGTGGAAGGAGAGAAGATAGTGTTGTTACAAAGTTTCTCACCAGCCTAATGGAAAATACGCTCTATGATTCACCAGCTCTATTGCAGTGTTCAATTGTTGCAAGCAGAACAATTTTTGAAATGGTGTCATACATTAGAAGCAAGAAATATGATGCAACTCATAATGACAATCTAAAGAATCACAGATAAGCAATGAGCTTTTACTTTACATTTAGTAAAGTTTTAGAAAAACTTCAAATAATTGAACAATTAACATAATGATATAATAATGGTGGTAAGATGACTCTATATACCGATAACCAAAAACTAGCTTAATGGCTAAAAAAATAGGCAACATGACAAGTTTGAGAAACTTTAATCATCTGAAATACACCATCAGAGTTTAAAGCATCTCCTTCTAGCGTTGCTCCTCACCAGATTCTTGCTGTAGTAGTCCCAGAGGTTGGAGACAGCGATGGTGCTTGGTTCCCACAGAAGACACAGACTGAGGCAACAGTGGGCATGCATCCTGACCTGCTCCTCTGCTAGACCTCCCTATTATTTCAAACACACACACATACAATCATGTTTAAATGACTACAAGCAATGATGACATTTTTGTCATCGTTGAGGGGTTAAAATCAAATATGTAACTTGAAGCAGCTGACCTTACTGTTACAGGTCAACTTGAGCAATTCCTCCACAAAAGTCCAGTTATCTCCTAGATGTTTCTGCATAGAAAATTAGATCATACATTAAAATGTTTTTATCATAATGTAAATATGGTAATCAGGGAAAATACAGAATGCCACATGTATTCATATATACAACCTTTTACTAAAGCACACCTAACTCCTAGACATATCTTCATGATTTTTGTTGCAAAAAAACCTTTAGAACTTAAGAAATGATGAATGTCCTGGATGAATTAGATGCACCTACATACATAAATAATAATAATTAAAGTTATTATTCTTATTGTTAAAACTAAGGTATTATAAGAATCTTGAATGTAGATTTTAAATCAAATACATCAGCTGGTTAAAGTGCAAATACATTGTTCATTTAAATATACATGAATCTCTGAGTCCTCCTCCATTGTAACAGCAGGGTATTGTCATACTGTTTCTGGATCATGAACTACAGTCTCTTACCTCATTCTGGAGTGTGCCGTCGCGGCTGTATTGCCCCAACATTGCTAAATGAGTGACCAGCCACCATGTGAATCCAAGCGGGTCTTGACAGTGTGTAGGGAGGCCACTAAACTGCTCTGCTGCTGGCTTTCCTAAAACCAGAGGCCTCAACAATGGGTTCATGTAGTCCCAGAAAGACTAGAAGGAAGTAGGTTCATACATTTAGTTTTACATTGTGTAATATTTTGTTATATATCATTGAATACATGTTGAATTGTGGTACCTGTGTGTGAAACACTTTCTTTCTGTGTTCCAAAAGGTGCATTAAGAGGATCCAAAGCTCTTTGGTGCAGGAACACAGGTAGTGATGGCTGCTCAGTGCCTCTGTAGGCCTTACCTAGAAATCAAAGGGTTGTGTTTTTTTAGTATAGAATGATGCCATCTATCATTAATATGAAGGCTGAATTAGTGAGACAATTTTGTAACACGATAAACAGCCTCCTTCAAAAATGTCATTTAATATCAATATTGACCAGTGTTTTGTGTTAATATGATATTTTTGCACTCTAAAGCAATACTAGTCTGGATAAAACATTTAGTATTACAAGCCAAATATATTATAATCAGCTAATAATAATTCAATATAATTTAATTCAGTGTTTGGTACCCATGGCTCCCTTCTTCCATCCATTCTTTTCCTGTGGTAATGAGTATATTGGATACCAGAACTGCATTTTGTTGCAGCTAAAAATGACCCAGAAATACCATCAGAGGATTGCCATGACTTGAGGTGACCACCTACCTTGCTGTATTTGCCTACGGCCAAACCAGTTAGGTCACACAGCAGACTGCACAGGTGCTCTTCAAACAAACTGGTATCAGTCATGTTCTCTCCTGTCAGGTTCACAAACTGAAGGGCATAAACAACTTGGCCTGGAGAGAAGAACAGGTAGGTAAAAAGCTTGTTTCCATGATAGTGACTCACTATGAGCTGCAAGTCAGAAGATTACTGTCAAAAAGTGCAACTTTAACAGTAATGACAATGGATTGGAAAACACAAGGAACAATTAGGGTATCTCTAAACAACAACATAATTTAAGTCAAATCTTATGTTGCTACGTGTCTGAGCATTATGCTGCTATGATTGAAAGCATACCTTGCATCTTTTGACCAAGTAGGTGGAGGATCTCTAAGACTGACCAGTGAATGTCAAGATGAAGGTGTAACAAATGCCAAGAGGGAGAAAAGATCTGCAGGAGGAATGTAGAGCACAAAGTTCAATGAACATAAAATGTACTTCTATAACAGGAGGCGTTCTTTCTGATAACAACTCTCAGACATTAAAAAAATGGTGGTGATATGAGTATTTCTTCATAAAAAGTCAAATTATTTTTATTTACTGTAAAGCTAAACAACATTAAAGTCCTCAGCAGTGTTTTTCCAGCCACTTCTACATCTCTTTTGTGACCGCTCTCGATTACTTAGTTTGACACATACCTTCCCCTGATTAGATATTGTGAAGGCACTCTGAACATTGGCAGGCAGGTCTTTCAGTCTTCCTATGAGAAGAGTGACACCAAACAGCTCCTCCAGAAGAGCAGAGGGGAGTTGGGCCTCCAGCTCCTCATAGGACTGTGACTGACCTGCATCCATGGAGCTGGAAGGTTCCAGGTATCTGAATATGTATAAGAAACCATGCATGGTGAAATGAGCACACTTATTAAAAGTAGAAGAACAAACACCATTGTAACATAAATACAAAACCACTTACATCATTATCACATTGTTCTCATCATTATAGACGTTAGACTTACCTGTGCAAGAAGACTTTGACATACTGAAGAAATGACACACACTGTTGTCTGAGGTCCTCTGCTTCATAGTGGAGGCTACCTGCTTGACCTACGACACATAAACAAACACAAACAGGACCTATGGATATGCATTAATAGAGAGAGTCAGAATGAGGGGGGTGCACCTGTGCAGTTTGGGGTTTGGTGCCTTGCTCAGGGGCAGTACTAGGAAAGTGAACCTCTCCAGCAATTAGACAAACTTCCATACTTTGGTCGGAACCGGCAACCCTCTGGTTCCCAACCCAAGTCCTACTACAGACTGAGCTACTGCAGATTATTTGGCTTTAGCATAAGATGTCTGTGTTGCTAGTGAATAATGGCTGACCAAGTGACAAAATACTGATTTGAAAACTAAAAGTTGGTATGTTGGCTGGCAGATAACACATTTCAGAACTTACCAAAATCATGTGAGCTGGACTGTACCAAGGTCTCAAGCCTGTAAACCTTTTGTCTGAAAAAATAAAAACGACAAGTGAAATACATGTAAATTTACCATGGTAGACAGTGTTTTGAAACCAATTACTACTAAAAGGAAAACTCTGTCCATGGTGGATTCTCTTTCTGAGGTTTTTGCTACTATTGAAAAGAATGATCAGATTTTGGTGTTTGTGGTAACATACATATATTAGTATTTAAACAAACTGTGTTCTTACAACAAAAGTAACTGAGATGAGATGCTTTTCACATCCTGGCTTACCTTAACAGACCAAAGAGAAGCTTTGTAGATTCTACCAGTGCTGTCTCTGTTACCCAAGAAAAGCCAAAGCACTCTACAGTGTCTGTCTCATACTCCGTAGGAGCCGGGTCAAGACACAATAGCAGCCTAAAAGACGGGAAATCACATCACACTTTGTTAAGACTAACAACAGTAACAGTTTTTATGTGCCAATGAGACAGCTGATTTCACCTCATGAACCAAATTTCCCCCTGGGATTGATAAAGTATTTCAAATTCTGATCGCATAAGAGGTGACTGGTACTCAAGCTGTTGTGTCAAAAGCATCAAAACCTTTGAAAAAATTCAATAGCAGCATATATTTCCAGAAAAAAAGATGCAAATACCGGCACTCAGAATAATACACAGATGTTGCTGTTTAATGTAATCAGTGTGAACATTTATCTTAGATAAAAAAGGTAGAGTGAAAATGGATGACATACAATTTTTTTTCCCTAAGTATAGCCTACTGGCAGGGAATGTACCGTTTCAGGGAGCCTCGTGCAGTGTATCCCTCTGTAGAGAGTGCTCCTGTGGGGTCCTCTTTTGTGTCAGAGCAGCAGAAACATGGTGGTTGGGATGGAATCAGCTCACAAATACTGTCTTCTGCAAACGGAGAAAGTGGAGGGGTAAGGGATTGGCTGAAGTCGTCTGCCATGCTGCCGGTGAAGAAACAGTATCCACCTAAAAAATAAAAACAATGTGTCAAGACATTACAGGATTTGGCAGTTCAGGCAAAAAGGATTACATTACAAGATTGTTAACAGAGGTGTTGCAGTACAAGTGGACAGTTAGCAGCGACAGAATATTGTATTGAGAAGATAACTAAAACAACACTAGATATGAGAACACCATATTTATGATGAAACCAAAGATTTATATTTTATACAGTTATACTATAATGTCTTGTTATATTGAAGAATAGTATATAAGACACAAGGATTACACAGGTATGTGTCCCCATTCAAATCAATTCAACAAAACAGTAACACATTTAGAGAACAGGTGTCTATTTGAGGTCATGTTTTATTCGTCTTATAATTATAATTATTTATAAAATCAGAAATGCTGCTGCGGTGCTTTAAAACTAATAGTGTCCGCATAGCATTGTAATCTACTTCGCAATGCAGTAAATGACCCGCAATAGTTACGGAAGATAATAAACTGTTTAAAAAAGCGTGTTAGTGACAGCAGTGTACGCTTTAGATAGTAAATAAGAACATCCAATATTATGTAAGTGTTAAGTCACTAGTTGAATTCAACATTAACCTCTTCCGGCTACATTATGAGTTGTAAGCGTAAGTAAAATGAAATATAACTGATTTCGACGGGGAAACTAAACACAGTAGCGCAGACAGAAAGAATATAGTAAGAAATCATTCACACACCTTGTACTGCAGCTTCTTTCGAGGTTTAATATTGCGTATAATTTAAGACAATGTATGAGGACACCACCGACATGACTTGTTTGGGTTTTCAGCCTCTCCCGCGCGCTACAACACGCGTGCGCAGTTGCGCTTACTCTCTAAACACCCGTTGATTGGTCCCAAGTTCCCCCCGAGGAGGCGTGGTCTTCATGTGACGTACTCTACATAGAACAAGAGTTTAATCTATGGAGATAAATATTTCGACATGAGGTAAACGCACTTGTTGTGGAATTCGTCGCATTTAGACCTCACTGTGGCGGACTTGTTTAATTATGTCCATGAAGTCTTGGGCTTGTTTCAACGTCAGAATTCTCCAGAGATATGCAATAATAAAAAAAAACATATTCTTTACAACACTGAGAGCATTTCCAAGAGACTGAAACTGAGCTGTTTAATCACATTTATAAAAGCTTATCGGTTTTATTTGAAGTAAAAGTTTGGTGTACATGGGGTAGAGGCTATAAAATAAGCAAACCTATAAAAACTTATATTTCATAACAATATTTTATAAAAATATTATATCAAACACTTATTGCTATTGAAATGACTGAACCCTCAGCACATACTCCATGCAATGAATTGTCTACAGGCTATGGCCAATTATTATTTTTTCCTTCCGTCATACTGCAGTGGTCCTGCCTAAAATGTCCAACAATGCAGCAGTTTAGCAGGAATTTTATCCACGCTAACCCTAATTTCCATATGCAGATCCGTCTCTCCCAACAGTCCCTCTCGCCATCACACCATTTCTTGCATTCTAATGCATTCTCACATCTTTACAAAATCCTCTCTTCCGCCACACGCAGTCGATGTGCTGCTTTTGCCGACTTAGAGTTTGTTAAGCTATTTCTGCACATTTGACTTGTGAAGTCTGGAAATGCACGATAGATGCGGCGTTTTGCATGCACTCATTTGCACGTTTTATTGCCAGAGCCAGTGTAGACAGTAAAAATGGACGCGTCGAGAGATACTTTTCTTTACGAGGCATCGACATCCTGCTTTGCTTTCACCAGGGAAGAGTCTGTCTGTGTGAAGGCTTTGTCGCCTGGATGGGAAAGGTAAATGCTTTTTTTTTATTCATATGCTACAAACTCGTTCAGTCCTTGTTTGGCACTGTATTACATGAGGGAGTGAGATTTGAACCTGTATCACTCCCCCTCCCCTCGCCCTCACATGTAGTCTAGCATCGTTTCCAGACTTCTCTGCACTTGACCAGGTTAGGGTTTCCTGTCTGAGAAAAACGGCGCTTGATCATTCTCTGGATATGTAGGCTGTTTTTAAGTCTTTTACTTAAATACAAAATGGTTGCAAAGCTTTTAATGAAGCAGGTCATACGCATTTGTTTCTGATCACATTGTAGCCTTTTTATGTCGTTGTTGAAGTTTAACAGTGTGTAGTATGGGTAACCTACATGTAGTACTAATTTACTCACGAGGCATATGTTGAACATTTTCCCCAATGCTAAACGAAATAATGTCAAAATATCCATCCACAGGTGTATGCACGAAACCTGGCTTTCGCACGCACAAAGTTATGCAGCCATTGTTGAAATTGTACTCATGTGCCTTATATAAAACTAAAAAAAAGGCAGTAAATGGCTCATATAAGCCAAAAATGAGGATGAATAATTCAATCTGATAAGCTTGATTAAAGGCCTTCCTTAAACTAAGATATACTATATATTCCCAATAGGATGGGAGATATTAAAACTTGTATCAGTGATAAATGTTGTGTCTCACTGTATGTGTAGCATTTAGCCTAAAAGTAGCAATTAGGAGACAGTTTGCCAGCTAGCTTGCATGGAAACACTTGTAGGTATGCAAAGTCCCTTTAGCTCAGCCTTCTTTATACTACTACAACAGCCTGAGCAGGTGTGTTAACATTATCTTGAGATTTTTTTTACGAGTATTAAAGTTGCTCATTTGTTAAGCTCACTAAATTGACCCTCTTTAAATAGTGATGAAAAAGCTTACACAAAATACTGTGGAATTTCACCTTTGGCCTAATTTGTCTATTTCAAAGCTCAAGCTACCTGGAGAAGGTATGGAAGCTATATGTAAGGATACCTCTTAACTCTGTTTTATACTGTTTTTAAATTTTTTTCATTTGTCACACAAAAACTTAATGTAGGCCTACAATCCGGATGAATCCATATACTCGTTATGGGAGTTCAAATGTGTTTGTGTATTGTCTTAATTTTTTTCCTCCCCATCTTTGTCGTACAACTGGTTATGTTCAGAATGAATTCCAGGATAATTTACCCTCTTGCTAACCTTGTAGGCAGGCACACAGATAAAAATCATAATTAGCTACTACTGTTCTGTTATATTTGGAGCTTGTCATTAACAGGTGAACACATAACTTGTATAAACCATGTTTTTGTTAAGATATCAACCATAAGCAATTCCCAATGTGTCTGATTAGAAATCACTTTAAATAACATAGGAGGCTCATATGAAGTAGCCTTCTTGTTTGTTATAGGCCCATTGATTGGTGAGATATTGTTTGGCTATAATGTAGGCTATACTCTCTTCTAAGCCTACGCACATTACAACTTATACTCCAGGTAAAGCAGTAAGGAGTTTTGAAGTGGTTATGAAACTTACTATTATTATTATTATTGATGCTTTTTTATTATAAAAATAGACTTTCTCTGTATAGTATTTTTTTTGTATCTCTCAAACCCCTTCTTCGGTAAGTGTCAGACGACGTGAGGTACTGTACATTACACTGCAAAAACAGCCTTTGTTTACAATTTCCACAGCAACTATCTACAGTGAGCTATGACTGGCTGTTGAAAGAAGCAGGATGATATTATATGTGATAAAACACAATTTACAGGAAAAACCAATATCATCACAAACTTTAGGAGCTTTAAGGATCTCTGCTTGTCTCCCATGCCATTCCAAATGTCCCCTGTGAGAAGTAATGAAATGCAATTTAATGTTGTCAAACACTCAACAATAGTTCTGGTATTGAAGTTTGACTTAAACAGTCATCTCTTAGTTTGGTTGTAATCTGGATATTGTAAAGTAATGTTATCCAATGACCGATAGTTTGACCTCTGGAAATCCTGTAAGATACAGTTCTACCATTAGCCCCCTCCCTTTAAGGAGTATAGTCAGAGGTCTGTAATGACTTTGCATAATGAGTTACATTCTCTTTTTTCATTGGGTCTGCTTTCTAAAAGATCTCTGTATTGTACAGAGAGGGGAGAGTGCTAGTCCCTTTTATCTCCAGAAAAAAACCCTTGTGGCTACAGTTTGATCAATTAAACTCCTGAAAGGGCCCCCCCTCCTTTCATTCCTCTGCCTGAGAGGAATATAAAGTTATCAGTCTTCCCAAGCGATATGCGGACAGAAATAAGTAGTTTGTCTATAAAAATGTCCAGGTACTTTATCAGCGTCCCAGTAGGCCCCGGGGCTCTGACACTGTTCAATGTGCTCCTCCTGTATTTCAGTCTCCTGTGCTCTCCCTCTTTCTCTCGCCCTCTCCCTCTGTCTACTTTGTCTCTGCCAGAGGCTTGCTTCTTTCTGGGTGGGGTGTAAGCTGCCAGCCCTGCACCTCAGTGGGATTGACTGGGGCCTGGGCCCCAACTGAGGTTATCGATTTCAATCAGGGGTTTGAGAGATTGGAGCAGACTGATGCTGTAGATGCTTTAAATGGTGGTCAGCTGCTGTTAGTTGTTTTTTTTTTTTGGGGGGGGGGGGGTCTTTTAAAGGGAAGTCAGACAAACACACAACCAAATTTTTACGTATTTTGAGAGATCTTAATTTTCTAGTTTCGAGTTTGTATTTTTTGTTCAAGGAAAAGTGCAAAGAATGCAGATTCCTTGTTTAAAAGGGATTTGATATAGCTGCAAAAAACATATTCATTATGAACTGCTCTTTCGATTATACTCTACGTCATCAATTGGTTTTGGTTTGTATTATTGCAGAAAATAAGGAGAAAACGGCCAATTCCAATGTTCCAAGCCCAACTATTCATGTTTACTTTATGTACTGCTTAAATGACATTGCATAATCTGTGGGAAGGAGTGGGAGCACTAACTGTGCAATTAATGTTACAGTATATGGTACTGAGATGCTTTTCTTCTTGGTGGTTACTGAGAAGTGTTAGGTGACAACTTTTTTGTTCCATCATTGTTCACAGGAAAGTGCAGTCATCAAGTAAAGACTGATAAAGTTCCTGTTTTGCTTAAAGAGGGAAGTTAGTTCACACAATGAGAGTGCCGATGTTTTTCTGCTCTCAGAAGCATTTGCATCAAGGCCAGGAGATTAAACGTGTGGGTTGGGAACTGGAGAGAGCGTGTTGTCTCGCTTGGGGCCCCCCGATGCCAGAGTTCTAGCTTTCATCGCACTGGGTGAAAGATTTCTCCTGGACGTTTCGCTCTGTGCCTACAGGTGGGTGGTTCACATGATGTAGGTGGCAGCCACTTGTGGATTTCATGCAGAAGTACAGAGGAGGTGGCTGTGGGCAAATTGTTTCACAATTGCCAGTGTTCAATACTTTGCACTGTGATGCTGAATCCCACACTATAAATTAATTTGTTTGATTAGATGGTATTTGGAATGTAATGGAACAAATTAAAACTGTAGGTGTTTCTTTTTTTCATACAAATATTGATAAAGTCAGTTTTTAGGTTTCATAATAAAAGACTAATGGAGACAGCAAATCCATGAGGATATTAAATATACGGTTGCATCACTTTAAAAAAAGGGAAACAATGGCTGTCATGTAGATTTGCTTTACTTTATAATTATGGCTGTTTCACTCTTTTCAAGCCAAACATTAGCTGGTTCCTTCTTTGCAAACGAGTGAATTTGAAGCTTGTTATCTTCATATAGATTTATAAACTAATACGTTTTGTTTTTTGGCAGTTGGGTGGACTAAACAAGCTGTGTGAGTATGTAAAGTTGGATGAATTCTCACTATTTCTGATCTTAGGTCGAAGAAAACAATCAGTAATTGACTACGTTATTAGGGAAATAATAAAAGATTGATCACAAGAAGTCATCAGCAGTTGCAGCCCCACAGACATGCTTTTCCTCTTTGTGTGATGGATTACGGCATCAGTGTTGAGGAAGGCTTTCAGTAGGGTGTCAACCTTATTTTACTCATAGAAACTTACTGAAGCAACATGTTTCAGGGGCAAGGTGGGCTAACATACAAAATATACATTTATTCTTCAACATCAATGTTTCATTTTTTGTGTGTGAGCAGTTTCCCAATGTTTCTGCTCCTTAAAGGCTCCATGTTCAGAGCAGCTGTGCTGGTGCTCAGCTGTCTGCTGCAGAGGACACTAGTGACCACAGAGGGGCATCGTGGGACCAACGGCCATGTCTTCTACGCTGTGCAAATGGATGGAGGCATCAGGGCCGCCAGAGCTCTGGCCAGGGATCATGGACTGGACTTCATACAACAGGTCGGTGCATGTTTAACATCCCTGTTGACATCCACCTATGGGCCTGCAATTTACATTTTCTAACACGGGTTAGTGTATTTAAAAGCTGCCAAAAGTGCAAACTTCTGCGTACTGTTTTATGGCTGAAATTCATCAAATTACAGCAATGTTTCTGTTTTATATTTGATCAAAGACATATAGAGTAGGTGGTCCACACAGTGTGGTACAAACACACAAATACATATGAGAAGACACAATTTGCACCAGGAAAGTCACACAAATACACACACTTTATTTTACACCTGTGAGGAATCCTATATGTGGACTAGGCTCCAGTTGAATGTCTTTGGACATGATTATGTCTTTATTGCCTGGTTCTTAATCTGTCATGCTGAAGTCTCACTTTGTTTGGTCACTATGTGATTTTTATCCACTGTGTTTTTGGGGAATTTTGAAATGTCTTTTGTTGTTTAACTTCCACTTTTCAAATGTAAAACCTAACCAATTAATCAGATAACATATAATTTTAATCATGAAAGTGTAATCAACTTTACAAGTACATGGCTGTAAACAGAATGGCCTTAATTATTATATGGATAGTTCCATTTAAAGAATAAAAGCAAAATATGAGATATCTTTTATTGATAGTTTAGAGATAGTATTTTTATCGTTAGGAAACTACAACATCTCAGCCACAATCTCCAAGTGTCACCATTTCATGTTGAAAGTTTATTAATTTGAAGAAACTTTATGCAACTATTTTACTTAAAAGCTTGTTTAGGCGCTGTTAAGCTGCTTATGAAATAGACTGAAATCAGACCAGACCATCAGAAAGAAGATCCATTTCTATTTAGTAATTTCTAATGCCTGCAGTCACTGATACCAGATTGATGTCATACAGGGTCATTACCACCACACACTGGACGTGCCTTTGCTTTACATTTACCCTGGCAAAGATTCACACAGTGAATGATATGTTTTGCAGTGAAAGATATCAGGAGTTGGTTTGACAGTGAAAACACTACTCACGCATGTACAAGACAGGATCCAGACATCATATGAACTTTGTCCACAGAGGTCACCAGAATTTAAACAAAATAAGATACTCACAGTAACTTTTAATATAGCAGCTGTGAAATCATTTTGATGGTAAAAGTTCCTCTTTGCTCCCTTAATGTCTCCTCTTATACAAAAATACATTTAAAAAACTAAACGGCACAGATTTCTAGCAGAATGCCCTGAAGGAACACATCTCTTGTTTCCAGTGTAAGTTCAGTGGTCAAACTAGTGAAATCACAGCAGAGGTGAAGAGGCCAAAGAGGATGTTGACTGTGGATGATAAAAAGAGAAAAGAAGAGTTACTGACCAATAAACAAGAGTAAATGTCGAACTCGCTTGAATCATTAGCAATAGAGGGTACCGCATCAGAAAACCCCAATAAAAACACCAATTGTTGAAAAATAAAGGTTAATTACACTTTGTCTATAGTGGCAGACGTACATTCCACCCTTGGTTTTGGTCACAGAGGAGATACAAATTTTCAATTTCTTTTCGTATTGATAAGCAATACGAGTGGTGTGAGTGTGTTTGTGTTTTGACCTTAGTGATATGAGTTAAGGGGAATGTTCACTGTCTTGGTGGGAGGTTGTGCGCAGTGTTGGCTCAGGGGGAAGGGGGACGCAAGCTCATTTCAACCTTGGCCTTGCTGCCTCTGCTGCTGCTGCTGCTGCTGCCTGGCTCATGAATAAAACATCTCTTTGACCTTTATCAGGAATGTATTGGACAGTCCACCCCCCGTCTCTCTTTCTGCCTGTCTCTCTCATTGTCTCTCATGCATGCACACAATATCATCTCCCTCTCCCAGCATTGTTTTTCTGCTTTTTATAAAGTGACTGTCCCTGAATGCAGTGACCACAGGGAATGACCAACAGACAAGCAAATATATTTACAATTTTTATTGAAAGAAACTTAAAGTAGGCTATAATACAGCCCTGGAAAAATGAAGTGACCACTCTTTCAAATGTATGTTAAATCAGCATGTCTCCATGTATGGAAGCCAGTCTCTGTTATATTTCAACACAGGCACAACACACTCTTCTAATGTGATCAAGAAGAAGATGGATGGTCACATGACATTCTGCCAAGTTGCTTGAATGTTTGGGCATGAGTATCTTGTATTATTTTAAACTCAAAATTTGCGCTTAGAGCGACATAATATACCTCAATTAATATGAAAACCAGTGGAGCATGCCAAAACACGAGAGTTGCAAATCAGTGCTTTTCCAAAACAAATTCAGTTCTGAACTTTTCCTTAGTTAAAACAATAAGATTTTGTTGTTTAAAAATTAAAATGAGTCTTCTTGGTTGTCTTTAGTTATGGTATATGATATTACACCTTAAACACAATCTATTCATAGTCAAACCGCACCACTTCAGAAAAACACTTTTTTTGCAGCGGTCTCGTTTTTCCCATAGCTGTGTACAGTACACAGTAATATTTAACATATCTGTAGTTTTGTTGGTTTATTGAAATGTTGCATCAGTCATTTAATGATGTGATCTCATTTAGAAGTAGTTCCTTGTCAAGGAGTAAGTATGTTTGTTAAAAAGGTGTCCTAGCTAACGTCATCATATTGTCCAAGAAGTTTCTAAGACGAACCCCACTTTCACAGTCCCCTCAGGTCCAATCTGCAATCGGCTTCTTTTACCTGTCTGTCGCCAGAGGCTGATGCTAAATGTCACTGACACTAAATCACCTTTGTTAATTCAAACCTTTGCAAATATTGTGATATCAAGAAGAAGCAGTGGCTTCACAATTTTGTTGTGATATATATATATATATATATATATATGTGTGTGTGTTTTTTATATTGAATTGAAATGAATAACCTGACAAGCCCAACACCAGCTTGGGAGGATTGTGATGTCTGCTGGCATTCCAGCGGTAATGCTGCATGAGTGGAATGGGAATCAAATGTCTCCATGCTGGCGCTCAACATATTGTTGGTCTCTTTGATTTAGTGTTCAGGATCCAAGAAAATGTCATTGCGTCTCCCCATTGTGCAGCCTTGACATATCCATTTTGCAACTGTAAAATACAAAAGAAACAACAAAGCAGAATACCATGTCTTCATGCCGCATGTACAGATTTGCTGTGATGCATTGCAGGTGTGTCTTTATTAAACACACTGAATCCTTTCCTGTCAGTCCTTTTACAATTTTAAAACATGCCAAAAACAAAGAGTGCATCATTCCTCATTTGTCTTTAACTTTTCTTACACAAGCTCATCTACAATTTTTTAAAAGATGGCTTATGGTTTGTCAACATTCCTTTTGAATTAGACTGTTAGTCAGCCCATCCCCAATAAGATAAGGTACAGTCATATGTCGAAAAATTAAATAAAGACACAAACATATCAAATGTAGCTCTTGCCAGTTCATTCACCGCTGTCAAACAATAGTAACTCTAATCTCCAACTGACAATGATGGTGTAATGAAATCCCTACAAACCAGAGAGAAAGAGATGCTCTGACTAGGCAGGTACTGGCAGCCATTAAAGGGGCAGAGTTTCACACACAATGACAAGGAAAAAAGAACCTTCTTAAATAAATAACTCTCTATTTCACGTCACAAAAAAACATATTTGGATTTGATAATATACTGATAAAATAAATCTCAGCCGCTTACTAACAATACAGCAGACATTGTTTTAAGTTATATTACATGGTACTGCATTGTGTACAGGTATTATTTCTTGCTTACTTTTGAGTTTGCAAATCCGATTAGAGGCAGATTAGGTCGGTGTTGCATTGTTTTTATTTTAGCTGAGTTCACTGCTTTTAAGTGAATTAAGTGCATTTTGTGTGTGTGTGCGTGTGTGTGTGTGTTGACCTCTGACACCAGGAAGTCCCTGGTCTCCAACCAATGGTGAAAGGCCTCCTAGATTCCTCTTGTCTCCAGTGAGGTGGAATACTGTTGGCAGATTACCATATCATTACCATATCATTAGCATAACATTACTACGGCACAGCTTGGCTCGCTGTCTGTGGACGTGCTATCAGCTCATCGAGAGATTTAATCCCCAATCCGCTCCATGCATCGCCCCCTCCCCTCCCCTCCTGCCTCTGTACATGGGAGCTGTGTTTTCCATCTGAGTAAAGCAGATGTAATTGAGGTAGAGCATTGGATTTACTGGCTAAATGAAATCACACCAGCACTTCATGATCAGCCGGGGCCGCTGTCGTACACATTCAGGGAGTTTTTCACTGAAACCTCATTGCACTGCTCCCAATTCAGAATTTCTAATATTCTCTCAGAAATAGCCTCTGTCAGATGCTAAGCTATGTCAAGCCTTACTCTGACTGGATTACTCAAGGCTGTTATGTTATGACCAGGTGTGTGTGTGTGTGTGTGTGTGTGTGTGTGTGTGTGTGTGTGTGTGTGTGTGTGTGTGTGTGTGTGTGTGTGTGTGTGTGTGTGTGTGTGTGTGTGTGTCTGGCAAAAGGAAAAAGTCAAATGTGCCACCATCCTTTCCCTTTTCTGTACCAAAGGGCGTGGAAAGGGACACCAATCCTCTAATGGTTGGAGGAAAGGGTCCATTCCATTAGTCAGGGGGCCCAGGGTTCACCTCTGTGCCTCAGCAAGAGGAAGGCAGAGGGAGTGAAATAGAGGCAGGTGTTGGCCAGGGGCAACACAGAGGGCAACACTACACCAGCTGCATGCTGGGAAATACAGCTCTTTTTTTTCTATTTCCCATCTCCACTCTTTCTCTGCCAATTTCTCTTTCCTCGTGCAAGTGCAGATGCATACACCTTGCTCATATAGCATTCACAGCACGCACACACTCACGTGTGTGCACACACACACCCACACACACACAGACACAGACACACACACCCACACACACACAGACACACACACACACACACACACACACACACACACACACACACACACACACACACACACACACACACACACACACACACACACACACACAGACATGCACACACACACGCTG